TCTTGACTTCGTTTTGGGCATTAATAGACCTTGTGCACCTTTGGTGGTTGTCTTGACGTGAAGGCTAGCTTGGGAGGCTCAGATCGAGAACTAAGCTGAGGAAAATACCGTTACTACAGTGTGCGATTCAGGGTTGTGCGTGGACTGGGATACCACTAGGGTGGCCAGACCTAAACAGGAGGACGATTAGGGTGCTCGATCAGCGCTTTTGGCTCAAAAGCCTAACCGCAAGGCAGCGGTGTTTGGCGGGGAATGCGAGTGCATTTCAATTTTTACAGAATAAATTGCCACACGTGTTCCAACCCCAGAATGGAGGGCCAGGAGATTGTTCGTCGTGCCCCTGACCATTGATAAACCTGGTATGACTATGGGTGTCGCACGGACACCTCCAGTGTAACTCTTTAGTTCGCGGAGGCGCACAAACCATCAATGATGAGGTTCAGTGTCTTCGGATCCTCGTCTCCTGTCTCCGTTCGTACTACTTGAGTTGGCTTTATTAGAATGCATCGTGTGAAATATTAACAACATTGCTGGTAGGAGTCGGTATTCTGAAGAACTAGGTTTCGGATATACTTCATTGCACTTGAGTCTTGCGCAACAATTGCATTTGGAGTCCTACATCGATTCTCAGAACTAGGTAAGCCGTTCACTTCAGTGGGTCAGACTATTGAATCGTTGGTTCCCACAAGCGTCACCCTCCTACAAAAATTCTTCGCGCTTTATCCATGTGGGTCAGTCAGGGTCGCCCGATAAATTCCTACTTCCTGCCGTTATTTCGTGAGCCAGCTTCTTTGTTTGAAGGGCATCGCAGACAGATCACCGGCTTTGACGGATAAATATTTGCATCCACGATCCTATGGATGCGTAAGCCAGCAGTCTTTGTTTATTATCTATCTACCAAGTTCTTCTCCCCTACCGTTTTCCGCAGAGGGTAGTGTACTGGTATTTGTTACGCGGAAGACACACAGCGAGGAGGTGGCACGCAAACTGAAAATGCGTGATCTCAAGGTCCTACTAATTCACGGTGATATGCATCAGTCCGAACGAAACTCCGTGATTCATTCGTTCAAGCGTCAAGAAGCACCTATTCTAGTTGCCACAGACGTCGCTTGTAAGTTTTTGTTCTTCTGTGTTCATCCTTTATGTTTCGTTCTATTTTCCTGATGGGAACCCATCGTAGACCAAATATAGTCATTTAGGCCTAATTGCATCCAGGCTTGTTGGGCAAATCGTTCTACTGGCCTGTTACTCAACTTCACACGTGGACGATGTGGTCTGTCGCTTGCAATTCATCAGAATTACCAAGCCCTGGTCATGGTATTCGTTATGGTATATCAGATCTTCTCATTGCTATCATATTCACCAACGGGAGCCCCATAATGAGAGAAAATTAAGGATGTCATAGGAAGGATTTAGCGCTAACCAGACACAAACAACTGGGTTGCTACACCTTTACCTTTCATTCAGACAATTTGGAGGAACTGACAGCATGACAGCCACAGTATCTTTTAACTTCTAGTGAAACCCTGAGGGTCAAATGGGGCCCCGCAGATGGACAGCACCCAATTTTTACATCTTCATTCATTTCTCCCGGGTCATATTTTGCTCACCCGTAGGTTTGCACCACATCGAATTAGGCACGGAAAGCGAGACTTTCCCGGCTAGACAATAATTCAGATATCGTACTTCTTGCAGTGCTGGACTCATTTTACCTTTCGATACAATGGCTTTACTTTCACTTTGTATTTCAGCCCGAGGATTGGATATACCTAGTATTCACAACGTGGTAAACTATGAAGTCGCCCGGGACATTGATACTCACACTCATCGGGTTGGCCGTACGGGTCGTGCCGGAGTCAAAGGCACTGCCTACACGCTCTTCGTCGCGGGTAAAGACCCGGTGGACTTCGCTGCTTGTCTCGTCCAGCACCTGGAAGCCTCGGGCCAAAACGTTCCCCCGAAGTTGCTTGACTTGGCTCATAAGTGTTCGTGGTTTGCACACAACCGTTCCTCGTTGGTAAATTCAGGCGGCGCAGCCGAATCGATCAGTCGCCCAAGCTTTGGATTTGAACCCAGGCCACCACGTGCCAGACCGGGCTTAGGTCTCTCAGCAGATGACGAATCTTTTGCCGGTGGTGGGAATCCGAGGAGCGGTCCAGCCACGGCAGCCGCTGCCGGTGAAGGGGCCGAAATAATTCGTCCTGGCGGTAAGCTTGTGTTAGTCTCTTGCTGCCTAGCAGTTCACATCCTTGCGACTGTCATCGTGGTTGGGGTAGCAGATTTTTCTTCTGAAGTTAGTCCCTATCAGTTGTGTTGCATACGATGGCCCTGTAGTTGTCAGACTTCTTCAGAAAATCCTGTACAAGTCAATCTGATTACCAGATATCCGACAAATGTCACCCTCCTGGAACGCTCTATGTCAAATGATGATTTCATCAGGTTTAGTTTTTCATGGGGTTTTGATGATCCTATTCAGACTTAAGCACTGAGCAGTGTCGATATTTCGACCCTCAAACTGATCCAAATGTGACTGGCGGCCTTATTTTGTGCTTGTCAGTAGGCCTGTTTCTTTGTCAAATCAGTACTGCGTAAACACTACATTTGACCCATCTGTTGTAAGAAACCTCTGCCCCACGATCACTTAGTTAACACCACCCCAGCTCCGATTAAGCGACTAGCAAATACTAGCTAGGTACTGTTTAACAATCAGGACAAAAACTTGAAAGCCCTTTTGGCACCTGTCTGCTATGCCACTCACAGGAAGCAAGCGGGCAGAGATACTGTCAGATTGCCCGAGCCTCGACAAGAGCAGTCAAGACGCCGGGATTGTGTTCGAACCACCGACCTTCCGGTCAGTAAGTTCAAACATTACGCTCTCTCGAGCTTATCGTCGGCGTTAATTTTGAAACGGGTGGTTCCAGAGCACGCAGCTCGTGCAAAAACTCACCGACCTACTGCCCACCAAACAGGTAGCTACGAAGTTTTACCGAAAATGACTGCTCGAGCATCATACATAGCCCATCGCGCCTACTCCAAACATATTAACAGTTGATGTCTGTCAGCATCCACGAAGGCCAGTCAATGCACACCTGTCCAGTAAACAAAAGGCCGATGTTTAGCCTCCAGTCCCATATATCACCTGGTTCATACTGTCCGGAAATTCTGTCCATATGTTCCAGAAATGGGCGAGAATGTTTTCCACTCTGACAGGATACCCAGTAAAAATAGTTGGTCTAAAAGTTATGCCATTTTTGGCACAGACAACGATCCTCAGTGAGGAACGCGTACCACATGGTTGCAGCTTTTAAACGCTCACTGTAGTGTTGATTTGGTACAAAACAAATGTCGGTTTCTGCTTTGTCCAGCCTCCTCTCGATCAATTGCGCTAAGTTCGGATGGACAGGAATCTCGGCTAGCAACTTAGCTGTTTCACCAGCTTAGAATGGTTAAATTGAAAACCAATCACTTCAAACACCACCCTATCATAGGTTTTTAGTTACTGCTTTGAATTCCGTGACCACTCGTTTAGTGTGGAGTCGTCGACTTACCATCCCGATTTTAATTAATCAGACTTTTATGTATCGGTTGTCAGCCCACCTAATCGATTTTATCCGTCAAAGTTAATTTTGTCATACTGTGTGGGTTGATTCGTTAGGCTTAACAATCTGCCTACTGTTGTGCTATCGGATGGGCCTACTCAGTGCGGTTTCAGTTTGGCATTTGTTGGCGTGCTTCAATTAATCTACCCACGTAAAATAACGGTTATCCCTCAACAGTTCTAGCTAGCGTGAATTAAGCGGCCCCAACAAATAAATCATATAGACTGAGTCATATTTAAGGCGCATGAGACGTTCTGGAAGTTCGAAGCACCACGATGACCCAGCATTCAGCAGATACTGGAATATAATTGGTTGTTGGACCAAAATTATGGATACTTTAAGATAGACACTCCGAGACAAAAGACTGGTATACAATCGGGCTGGGAACTCGGTGGCATCTCTATGTCGCCACATGTTCCAACCTGGAGGGCCAGGAGACTGTGTTCGTCAGACCTCTAACCATTGACCAACCTGGTATGAGAGGCCCTGTGAGTGTCGCGGGACACTCTCCAGTATAGCTCAATGGATCGCTGAGGTGCGCAAACCGTCACACCACGGTAACGTCCAGTCTCTTCGTGACGGCAGCGAAACATCTGTGTTGAACACTGATATCATGCTGTCGATGATGATGATGGCATCTCTAAATTTGAGCAGCAATCTTTCACGTGTATACCTCACAGCCATCTGGAAAGTAGTACATCACCAATAGGTGTACACTTCAATGGTACTGGGCATTGCAATCGAACCCTGATTCTATGGTTGGCATGAACGGAAGGAACTCCGTCCAAATTGCCACTGACTTACAGATGTTTGCTAAACGACCTGACTATTGTTAATCCGTCACTGAATGACAAAATATCCAGTTAGACAATGAATATAATCTAATCATCATCATCATCATCATCGACAGCATGACATTAGTGTTCAACACCGATGCTTCACTGCCGTACAACCATGATTTATTTGAAAGCCTTATTGCAAATAAAAGAGTAAAGGTGGACGAGGAAGGAAATTAGCGCTAGCTTACCACAATCATTCCGAGGTGCCTACACCTCCAGACATTCACTCAGGCAATCTGGATAGAAACTGACAACAAAAACGCCACTGACATCGGTTGGCAGTCATATCTTGTAGCGTCTCCAACCAGGCACGTTGAGGATCTAATAGATCTAATGAATAATATAATGTAGTAGAGTTCATCAGCTGCCTGGTCCTGTCGGTTGGTGCTTGAAGTTGTAATCACATGGTGAATCTCAACCAGGACGGAAGGCCTCGTATGACAGCTCTGCTCAGAGCTGTGGAATACAGATGCATTTTACAGACGAAAGTTGACAGAAGTGAATGATAATCACTATTCTGACCTAGCCTTATACCCCATCTATCTGAAATCCGACTCCTCCCCTCGCCAACTAACACGTCTTGTTTCTTTCTCATTCTCTCACAGGACTTCAGGCAGATAGGTTTTGTGCGATGAAAGCCGCCTTTGCAGCTCAATACAGCAGACGTTTTGTTTCAGCTGGAGTTGAAGCCAGCAAATACACTCATCCAGAAATGCTTCAACCCGCCACCAACGTCACCAAGAGTCAATTTCAAGCATCCTCTTACGGGACGGAATTATCCTGCCCTCAGCCAGTAGCGACACCACAAGCTGTCCCAACCCCTAGAGGAGTTCCGGCACCTATTCCTCCACCAGTTCCGGTTCCAGCTCCCGTTCGACCACCGCCACAGCCAGTGTCCACCCCGCCCTCTCAGCCTGAGGTCAAGAAAAAGCGTTCACGATGGGATTAGCCTTTCGATCAACACTTGAATGTTTTGTTCTTCACAGACTGCAAAATAATGCCTCAATAAAAATCATTTGAAACACAATCATATATTTATAACACCACACAAATTAAAAGTAAAATGGCAAGTCGATTGGAACGAAAATTGCGGAGCAGAAAGTAATCACATCCGGACGATATGGAGCAAACGAACAATACTGCATGCTAGTTTCAGTCAGTGATCTTGAGCTAGCTCATTTGGAACACTTGACGTCATTCGAAGATGTAGCATGCACAAGGTGTCCATTCGACAGAAGAGGCCATTAGCGGTGCAGTCAATTAGTTGACTGCACCGCCTAACCTCAACCACCACCTCCGAATCTGGACGTAGGTCGGTAACAACTTCTAGAACCACCATCGGTCAGTGGGTTATAATCTATAGAGGGACATAGAAATTGCCAGTTGTTAAAAGTCCAAGTTAAATTATGCTTCAGTTACCGTTTATATAAAGTGCCTGTTAGGGAAGGAAACCATAAGTTGCTTGGATCCTCTACCTGATAGGTTTGTAAGTGGAGAGACAAATATCAAATCACGTGGTTGAGAAACGAGTCGTGCGAAATGACCACGCAGCTCATCAGCAACGTTGTCAGCCGTAAGGACCGCGTACCTGTCGTACAGTGGTTGTAGCTGTCACAGTTTCGTTCACAAATGATTTGAGGAAGTGGGGTAGGTAGCACATTGGAGGCAGGAATTGATAAATTGGTACGCAAATACAGGACCGTCAGGCGACTGTTAAATGGGGGAATAGGGAAGGGAGCTACACATTGAAAGATTGGATGCACGCCCTTAATGGAGCTTGTGCATCCACGCGGATAATCACCCACCACTAGGGTGGTGTTCGATTTCGGGGTCTAAATTCCTTTGGAGATTCGTGAGACCCACACCACTGATGATTGCTAGGACTCACTACAAAACCCGTCGGTGCTTGAGTTCGTTAAGGCAGCAAACTGACATTATCACTCTGCGAAAACAAACTAAGGGAGACGCCACAGCGAGCCTGCTCGTGTTCGTTAACCCGGCCACACAAATAAAAAAATTTGTGGATGACCACTACTCAAAGTGTTTATCGGACATCCCTGAAATTGTTATATTTGGATATACCAATATCGCTGCCGGGTCCTTTCCTGTCCTGGATGACACCGGACATCCAGCTAGATTCGACCAATAACCTGGAATAACTGCTTGTACATGAATTTCAGGTATATTGGTTGTGAATACGAAAATCTGGGAACATGAGAAATAGACTACGAAATGCAAGTGTGTAGTCACTTGCAGCTCTGGTCCCTAGACTTGGCACGTTACTGCCGAATTTACAGGAAGTGCAGTAAAAACTGCTGGTGCTGCTCCCATGAGGAAATAGTCGTACGGTTGTAACACCCACCCGGTGAATAGCTACCATGCCTCCCGAAGGAAGCACGAAAACTGAGATACTGTCAGTTTGCCCAAGCCCAGACAAGATCGACTGAGACGCCGGGATTGAATTCGAACCACGACAAGCTTGCGGCTTATCCACTGTTATCTCAAGCTCCCAAACTGCCATGCAGCCATGAAGAACGCCGCAATGGTGGGGGAAAAGAGGATTGGGACCTAGTAAAAACGGCCCTATGTCTTCCTAGAAAGATGGCTACAACTTAAAAAACAACCGATAAGACACCAATGGGATCGATGTCATTCGCGAACCCCATTCGAGATGACCCAAGAATAGGACACAAACATTAACTCGGCATGAGTCGATTACGTGCCAGGCCCTGCAGGGATTATAACCAGGCGCACAAGAATCATCAGAGGGGCAAATATCCCACAGCAGTATTTTACAGTAGTCGCCTACATTTCGCATTGACAAGTTATGGCCATCGAACTATACGTGATTCGCGGCGTTAAGTAACTCACTATAATCATCAGACAACATCAAGCGGGAGAGGCGAGTTCACTGCTGAGTAAGATGGCCGGTACTACAAACGTCAATCAGGTTCCACATCGAGCCACAGGTTTATCCGACCCGCAACAATCTTACGACATGTGACCTCTCAGCGAGTTTTTCACAACCAAACATTTTTCTGATAAAGTGTTATTGTGCTCAGGTTGTACCCACAGAATACAAGCCTCTGATAGCAAGCACGATAGTGCTGACAGGTTGGTAGCTCAGACAAAGACAGACCATATCAACAGTACCATGCATGTCCATCCACCGTCGCCTGAACGGTGAAGTCGCGTAAGATCTTTTTGAAGATGAACTTCACGTTATGTGGCGAGCTAGAATAAGGCTTGAAGATCAAGAAGACACTTCACGCTATGCTTGAAGGTGACCATTTCCCCTGCAGAATCTCAAGGAAATAAACGCTAAGCGTGGAGTATAAACATCCGTTAGGTTTGTCGAAAACGCGACAAGTAACCCCGTAAATCTCAGGAATTTGTCGACCCGGCTTGAGGAGGGTCATAATCGGTCAGAGCTGGAGTGTAGGCGTCAGCTTCAGTAAGCTGTAGCTGTAGTTGCCCTTGGTAGCTGTTGGTGTGTTCAATTCCTTACTAGTAGCATTTGTGTTGTCGTGAGTTGTACGAAACGCCAGGATAAAATGACTTCAAAAGTGCCATAGTCCATGTGAGGGAAAATACCCTGGCACAGAGGAGGGTGGATGAAGCAACTTTTGAAGTACATTGTCGGGTCATTTTGATCTCTACTCGATTCGTAATTGAGTGTGGTCCTATTTGGAAATCAGTCGTTACGGTCCACCAGCAACCGACTGGGTGTCAAGAATAAAGTGGCTGTACAGGTTGCTCGCGGTCATTTTTCGGTTTTCCTTCGGTCTGCAGATGTCAACTTTTGGTGCATAGTCTTCGCGCTTCGCCACTGCCTACCAAGTTCCATCGCCCAGAAGAGAAAACAGAGACAACTTAACATGGCGGAGACAGTTTTATTGAGGAAGCCAAGGAGTTGCACCGTTCTCTAGTCGGACCGTAAGATAAATCATAGGAACTACATTCGACAACACGTTCAGAATATGCGGAGTCCGGTGTTTTTGGGCTTTCCGTCAGCCATGAAAGTAGGCTACCTGCTTCAAGTCCACATTCAACCACCCTAAATATTACACCATCAGCTAAAACATACCAAAGGGTCTCTGGAGCATTCTTTCGGTGGCATAAAAGTTATAGACTAAGAGTGTCGGCTGGAATGTTTTATCGGACTGAATAGGATACCCGCTGTTGCTCCTGAAGTTCGACGCATTCAGTTGCCGATTACTTACCATCCCGTAGACGAATTTTCGGCTTTGGACGTAGACATGCCGGTTGCCCATCGTCCCCATCACCCAACTTGTTGTATTTCTATGGATAAAGTGATAGAAGGGGGATACGTAAGTCGGTATATACGATGCGAAACCCAAATGACCAACTGTTAAACTCAATCGCAGTGAACAAAGCCGCAAACAGATGTTCCGCTCTGTAAAAAACCATGCAGTACCGACTGAAGATAAGTGACATCTACAGGGAGCATTACTGGTATGAAGCGGTGAAAGGGTGTTACAAGGTTGCAACTCCCCTCCCCCACAACCGATTTTGTTGAGGACACGCCATCCACGGGGTAGGATAGGTACAGAAAATTGCTGGCAAAAAACTCTGAAGTACTCGCAAAGCTCACGCTCCACCTGATGTACGGTTTTCACACTGGTTCAGAGCGTTGGAAGAGATTAACAATGTTCTAAGCGAAGGACATAAGTCAATCATAGGCGTAAGCAGCCTCAAAGTCGAAATACTTCAGCTGTAGCACCCTTCGGGTACCAAGCTACCATGCCACCCGAAGGGAGTGCGAAGGCTGGGATATTGCTAGGTTGTCCAGGCCTAAACAGGAGCACTCGAGACTCAAAAATTGGCTTCGAACCACAGACATTCCAGCCAGTAAATTCGTGGTTTTACCACAACCACCCCCAGCCCAGGCACAAGCAGCCTCAAGCTTTTCGTTACAGGAAACCGGTAAGCGATCAAACCAACAGACCCCCAGTGCAAGTTATCAATGGAAGCGCCTGAAGAATGGTTTGATTTGCGAAGTTTTATTCCAGCGCCTGAAACCTGCCGGTACCACAATCCCGCGACTTTATGGATTGCCCAAGGTTCACAGGGAAGATATTCCGTTGAGGCCGATTTTGGATATGTGTAATTCACTATATCACGCAACTACCCAATGGTTGGTCGAGATTTTAGAACCCGTACGCCAACATTTACGCCAGTATAGCCTCTGTGACACTTTTGAGTTTGTGAATCTGATAAAAGATTCGGATATTGGTTCCAAAGTTGTGCTCTTTTGTCGTAACTTCCCTTTTCACCAACGTCCCACTCTTAGAGACTATAGATTTCATCTGTGGTTACATTGACTCATCAGATTTGACACTCCCAAGCCCAACCACCGCATTAAAAGTACTCCTTCGGTGTACTTCTAACATACAATTCCAATTTAACTCTACACTCTACCGACAAATCGATGGAGTCGCCATGGGATCTCCTCTTGGCCCCTTGTTGAGTGACATCTTTATGGGCAAAGTGGAGCTTGAGCGATTGAATGGGGAGATTAAACGCACGCACTTTTATCGAAGGTACGTAGACGACATTTTTATGGTGGTACCAAACCGTTCCGAAATGGATGCTCTCTTGACCAACTTCAACCAGGCACATCCCTCTATTCAATTCACTTTTGAAACTGAAAGTGACAACGCTTTCCACTTTTTGGACGTTAAGTTAGTCAGACTCTCCATGGGGTCAATTCAGATATCTGTCTACAGAAATCCCACGTGGACGGGACAGTACACAAACTTCCTGAGCTTTGTGCCACTGAGGCGGAAACGAACCCTGATTCAAACTTTAACGAACCGAGCGAAACGTATTTGCTCTGCTGATACACTGGACTCCGAACTGCAGCACATTGCTAACGTGCTCCGGAGAGGCTTATAACCAAGAATATGTCCGACCGCCCTATCCAACCGCCTATCACGACCGTTGGAAAGAAGCCAATATACTTGAGTCTACCGTATAAAGGCGACCTGTTGGCGGACATAGTCAATCGCCGCTTGTTTCAATCCTTACAACGCACGTTTCCGGCTAGAACTCTGCGGTCTTGGTCGACAACAAACCCTTTGATCAACTTAAACCTCAAAGACAAGATGCCAGTCCTCACCCAGAATATGGTTGTATATTATTTCTCCTGCTGTTGTTCGGTGGAGTATGTTGGGCGCACGACACGGCAACTTTCTAAGAGAATACGTGAGCACCTTTCTTACCGGAATACCACTAACCTCAACAGTTCAGCCACCTGATTGACACCGGGCACGTAGTCATGCCAAATGAGTCATTTCAAATCATTTACCGCGTGCCAAATCGACTACCAGTATCTATTCAACGACGTTGCTTGACAACGGCCGAGGCAGTCGCTATACGCCTGCGAAACCCGGTACTGTGCTGTCAAAAACGTTTCGTACGAACGCTGAGTCTGCCTTGGTCGTGTGACACGAATCAACCGGCCAAATCACTCAACAGCCCTCTTCACTGTCTCACACCATCCAACTAGATGCGAAACGGGGGGAGGCGCAGACAACCAATCGTTCGTGTCTCCACGTTTTTGCATTTCACTAACCAAACTTCGTAGCGTATTTCATTTTTCGCTCTTATTTTAACCATTAGATATGTACTGACCTGACGACGAGATCCCGAAAACATTATCGTTCGTCACTGTGCTATTTTTCAGAGAAATGTCTTGCAATTAATGTCTCCCAGCAAATCATGCTTGAGGTCCTGTTTCCTGGAACGAGGAAAGTGTTTCTCTTAAGGGAAATCGATCGCTGAAAGACCACGGATAGATTTCAATTGAGACATATACGATGATATCAGCGGTGTGGTTGCGTAAAAACGACACTTTTCCTCCGGTGGCGTCTAAACTTGCGATTGAATGTGCTTCGACCTAAGCGCCAACTTTATGTCCACTCGCAGTTTAATATTTGCCGCATTCAAACTCCCAGGTCCTCTAAAATTTGCACGCAGACAAAGATCAACGTTCAGCTGTAATACCCTTTCAGTGCCTAGCTGCCACGCCATCAAAAGGAGGCATGAGCGTTAGGATACTGCCAGGTTTCCCAAGTCTAGAAAGACGTCAAGAGGCAGAGGTCGGGTTGGAACCACGAAACCTACGGTCAGTAAATTTGGGCTCTAACCGCTGGGCAGACAAGATCGCGCAATCCTTAAGGATAGGTGGCATGACCTTTAGAGGCAAAAAAACCAACAGCATTACGTCTGAAAGCGTCATCTATATGTTTGCTTGATGCACTCAGCCAACTCTCCAGTGGGTCCTCGATATTTCATCCACCTCACGATTACCCTTTCACTAGCTGCCACGCCATCAAAAGGAGGCATGAGCGTTAGGATACTGCCAGGTTTCCCAAGTCTAGAAAGACGTCAAGAGGCAGAGGTCGGGTTGGAACCACGAAACCTACGGTCAGTAAATTTGGGCTCTAACCGCTGGGCAGACAAGATC